TCAACATAGATTGACTTTGTCTTAAATCTACTAGGTTATCTTTGGTGTGAATTTTCTGCATATCAACACTCCCTTACTCTACTACTTTTCAAGCAAACTGGATTTCTTGTAATATGCCAGGCACTTTGACTGTGTGCCCGAGTCCTTCCATTAGCAATTGTATCCAAATATTGACTGTGCCTGAGTTCTTCCATTAGCAATTGTATCCAAATATCCTATTTGCATGCCTGCGTGGTTGCCATATACTCATCTTTTGTTATCGATAGAGCTACGACCGTTTGTAATTTGGACAACTAACTTACTGTTTCACTTGCAAGTGTGAACACATAACTAGTAATAAAATTTATTTTATCAATATCACATGCAAAATCTGAACCAACAAAACCCTTACAATTATTTCCAATCCTTTGAAACACAATGCAACATCTGGGGATCCTTTTATATATCTTAGGATTCTCTTAACAACATTCCAATGCTATTTTCCAAGATCTACCATAAATTGACTAACTGCTCCCATTGTTTGTGCAATGTCTGGCCTTGTACATATGGCATACATAAGGCTAGTGAAAGAACTCAGACACAGTCAACCACAAATTGTTGTGTATTCTGATAATCAGAGTGTCTACATTGTAAAGAATCCAATCTTTTATTGTAGGATAAAGAGCATAAGTGTTCAATATTATTTTGTTCGAGAAATGATTGATTGAGAAAGTGTTTATTCCATATGCCAGTTGTTTATTCTCATTCCCTTTAAGTCAGGGATTCGTTTAAAGCCTTTCGCTAGCATTACAACAGAACAGAATAAATGGCATCCATCAGATTCATTAATAGGAATTCTTTCTTACTGTAGCCACACAGAGAAAAAATTCGATTTCATAGACGAGGTGGTAATCAAGTAGCAATTAACTTTTAAACCTCTTTCTTCTTTATCGCGGACCCTAAAGACGATATACAGAAAATTCACATTAAAGATAACCTAGCAGATGTTATGACAAAGAGACAAATGTTACGACAAAGAGACAAATTTACATGGTGCCGATCTTCCTATGGCATGATAGAAAGTTCACAAAAGTGACTTTAAGTGCGAGATTGTGAGAATGTAAAGTCACATCTGTGATGAAAATGATCAACACACCATAAAAATTTATCACTAAATAAATGATCTTAGTCTCTACGTAAGAATGCTAAGGAAGAAAATGAAATTCTCTTGAATCTATAAATAAAAACACAATATATATATATATATATATATATATATATATATATATATATATATATATATATATATATATATATATATATATATATATATATATATATATATATATATATATATAAAGGTTACTTTATATTCATTATAACAACATCAATATAGAAAAAAATTCAAACAAAAAACATTAACGGTTCTCATCTTTATTTTAGTTGCGTAATATTATTATATTATTCTGATACTTAACGGTGGTATCATTGTGTATACTGATATGAGAAATTGTGTCAAGTAGCAAGTTTCAACATTAGTTGATCGTTGATCTTACTAATTATTATTCCACATTTATTTAAAATTTGAAATTATGAACGAGGTAAAGAATTGTAGTAATATTTAACAAAGCCTAAATATGGAAATAAAAAAATAGAAAATAATTAGAGTAATAATAGGAAAGAAAATAAAGTTGGAGGTTTATATTTACGTGTAGTTTTGTTATCTCAATTTATAATTGTAGTTTATTTACGGTATAAAATATAGTGTAACAAAGTTAACTTCATCTTATAATATATTATCTTTTTTTTTGAAATATATATTTTTTCGTACAATTTATTGTTGATGCTATATTATTTTCTTGTTTAATTTTGGTGAGTGTTATATTTTATATTTTATATTATTATTATTATTATTATTATTATTATTATTATTATTATTATTATTATTATTATAAAAAGTTGAATAAAAAAATAATATAGCATGAATGATAAATTATACGAAGAAATATAGGAGAAAGATTAATATATTATAAGATGAAACATATCTATTGTTGATGTTATTAACAAACTTAGACTTAATTTATACGCTAAACTACCTAATATAAGTTGAGAGAACAAAATAACACGTAAATGTAAATCTCTAACTTTACTTTTCTTTCTATTATTACTCATTTAATTTTTTATTTCTATATTTTTTTTGCTAAATATTTTTACAATTCTCCCCCTCGTTCATAATTTGAAATTTCAAACTTTGGACAAATATAAAATAATGTTTAGCAAGTTCAACCAGTGTTGAAATTTGCTACATGACACAACTTTGGTTAACAGTTTGCAGGATTCTCATTAGTGTATATTTTCGTAAGAGAAATATGACTCTCCCCTACGACATTCCGAACAAAATCTCTTAGTCAAATGAATTGTACTTTGGATATCACAACTAATATCCACACATTCTTGCTTAGTTCCCAAATTATCTAGAAGACCTCGTAACTATAATGCTTCTTTTACTTCTTCTGTTATGGCCATGTACTTGTCCTCTATACTAGATAGTGCCACAGTAGCATGTAACATCTGTAGCCAACTAACTAACACACTATGTATTTTAAATACATAATTAGTAGTAGATCGTCGTCTATCTAGATCACCAGCATAATCAGAATCAATGAAGTCGTTTAATTGATATGTATCTCCACCAAAACACAAACACATGTCAATGGTATCCTTTCATTGCTTTTTAATGTTCCTTTCTCAGATTTGTCATGAATCTACTGACAACACTAACCGCCTGTGAAATATTCGGACATGTACACACCACACCATGTACATTAAACTGCCAGTTGCACAAGAGCAAGGAACACATTTCATTTATGTCTTATCCTCCACTGTACTAGGAGATTGTTTACTAAAGAGCTTAAAATGTAGAGCCAATAGAGTGGAGTCACCACTGACTTAACACCTTTCATCCCAAGCCTTTCAATAACCCGTTTAATGTAATCCTTTTGACTCGAGAGAACAACCTTTGGTTTGATCTCTCTCTTCTAATCATCATACCCAGTATTTTCTTGGCAACTCTCAAGTTTTTTGTCTCAAACTCTTTATCAAGTTGAGTTTTTAACCTATCTATCTCCGCCTTGCTCATCACAGCAATAAGCATGTCAACCGCATAAAATAGAATGATAAATATAATCACATCCACAAAGCTTCTAATTGTTAACACAAATAATCACTTATAAAGAAATCTTCCTTTAACATAAATAAGTCAAATCACTTGTACCATTGGCGAGGAGAGTGCTTCAATGCATAAGGTGATTTCCTTAAACGACATACTTGACTCTGTTTATCCTCAACCTTATATCCCTCAAGTTGATACATATAGATTTTTCCATTTAAATCATTGTGTAAGAAGGTTGTTTTCGCATCAAGTTGTTCTAGCCCAAGATTACCATGAGCAACAAGATCTAATAGCACTTGAATAGAAATATGTTTTATTACTCAAGCGACAAATGTATATAATCACACGTGAGAATAATAATCTTGAAAACTAATCACAGCAGAGTAACAAGTCAAATGCACTAATACCACTGTTAGGTACCAGAGTAATATGATGATATTACGCAAATAAAATAAAGATGAAAAATGTTAATGCTTTATGTTAGTATATTTCTCTATATTGATGTAAGCTACCGTTATTCTATTTATATGTTCAAGAGAATTTTATTCCCTTCTTTAGACTTTCAATGGTAAAGAGTAACCCCATTTATTTAGTAATAAAATTTATGGTGTTGCCATTTCCATCACAAATGTAACTTTACATTCTTACATGTTTCTCGCCTTTGCTGATTGAATTTTCTTCACCTTCCAATGACGTCTTCCTCTTTTTGAAGTCAATAAGTCATTCTTATTTTTCCTTAACTCAATAAACAAACATAATTGTAAATTAACTTGCATTAAAAAAACAGGCGGTTTATAAAACAAGATTCAAGAAGTCCTTTTATTTCGTGCATATCCAGTTATTTTTACTTTGTTCCACTTCAGCCTTCAACTTGGTTAGCAACTTCTCTTTTTTGCTGACCAATTTTTTCAAGGTTTTCCGCTCACTCTACTCCATAAAGAAAAAACTAACTCAATGAAAATTTAAGATGGATAAACTAGAAACTGGGTAATCTGTTTAACGATTGCTATGTAGCACGGACACCTCTGAAAAACAGCGTGTCTGTGTCGGGGTCGGCACTTGCACCGATATTTGTGATTACGTTTAATTTTTTATTTTTTCAAATTATTACTGGTGTCGCTGTGTTAGTGTCAGGATCAGATTTGAGGTGTCCATGCTTCATAGATAGATTGACCTTAACAGAAAAGATTAACAGACTAACAGAAATAACTTAAGAGATAACTGCCTAACTACTCTAACTGACCCTTAACTGCTGCCTCTCAAATTATACAACCAGAGGCCTATCTGTTTTTCCTAAACTTCTTTCTATTATAAACTTCTTACTACTATAAACTTCTTAGATCCTGTCAGTAGGTTAAGTAATACGCTCTCTAGATAAGAATAGAGAGAACAGATTGTAACTCATTGAGATTTGTGTTATTGGTTGGATGAAAAACAGTTACAAGAGGATTAACACTTATTTAGACATGATAGTCCTACACCCTTATATTTTCTTATCGTACACCTAATCACAACTAACATTGAATTAGTTATGGTAACACCTAAGGAAACTACCAGCATAACCAACATTGAGTTGGTGATTGCTAAGTTGGCAAGACAATTAGCTATTTGTACATATCTCACTAATACTGAGGAATCCCCTTCATTATATCTTTTGGAAAAGCTATTATGAATTTACACAACTTTAAACAAAGTTGCCCAATTAACTATACTATTTTGCATATGAAGAGGATATTTCTATTCAATAATTGTTTTCTCAAGGATTTTGCTTGCCCACTTGAATTTTATCTTCATCAAAGCATTAGCTTTACAAAGTTTGAATTTGTTTCACTTTTCTTGCACTGTACAGATGACAAAGTAACTGTTTTGGAATCAGAAAAGCGTGCCTGGGAGAATTCCCCAGACGCCCAGGCAGTTAGAGATGCTCTCAACCCTTGGAGACATGTTGATCCAAAAGAAACAAACAAGTCCTGAATCAATTGCGTATAGACTAGTTATTCTGTTATACTTATGATCATGTCATGGAACAGATAGCACCCTTCCAACAACTTCACTCGCGGCGGCATCTTGTTGACCTGCCTGCAATTCACGGGCAACTCTGCCATGTATCACACACACAACCTTCAGTTTATTTTTAGCTGCTATCTAGCTTTGGATATATTGGATTCATTTATTTGACTCTTGTAGAAGAGTTAATAATTTTCTTGGTAGTATGTTGACACAAGATGAATGTCGCAATATTCACAATATAAATTTATTACATTTTATAGCAGTTATATATAGATATATTTATTTAAAAAAAGAGTAGCTTAACATATGTGCCAATATTTTTGCATAAAAAAGTATCTTAACATTTAACCGAGACTTATTTATAAAAAATGTTAAATATGAAAGATAGTTGTTTAAAGTTAAATATTTATAATAGAAAAGATAAAACAATGAAAATGTTCTTCAAAATTTAAAAAGCACATTAGTAGCAATAACAACTATAGGTTTTTTAAATGGCCATGTTAGATGTTATCTTTGTTAGAAAAAACACTTCAATAATTATGTCCACCCCAACACTATAGTAAGTTGAATGGTTTGAGTCTATAACAAATTCTATGTAACAAAGATAACACATCTTACCAATTGCAGAGAGAATATAATAATGTTTTTTTCCCTAAGGTATTTCTGAAAATAAATAATGTTGCAAATTCTAGACTGAATTTAAATTTAAGGTCTTTTGTTAAGAAGAAAGTGATTACATATCATACGTGCTCTTAAGTTAAGAGAATATAAAATCCGTTTATTTTAATTTTAAAAATTATTTTATTTTATTTTAAAAAAATAATTTTTATAAAAATAAAATTTAAAATATTAAAAAAAATTAAACAGGAAGATTCATGTTTGACATTAGTTCTTGCTCTTTTTAAATTCTTCCACTTCTTCTATTTCATATATCTTTCTTCAAAAGTTTGGCTCTTGGTTTCGGTCAAGAAAACATGTTCAACATTCTTTTCGTCTTCTCTTTTATTTACTCAAAGCTTTCGAGCCTCAATGTTCATCACAACTCTTCAAACTTTAGATTATTCAAATCTTTTTTCTCCACAATTGTCACTACAATAATGTCCTATTTGGAGTAAGAGTGCAAAACCTTCTCATTCATAACCTGAGCTCTTCATTTGAATTGATAAAAAAAAGCAATCTTGCGAAATAATCGGCAATTGGTTTATTTTTTTTCTTCATCCGAAGCATTTCATATTTCCTTCTCGGTGACTGTAACCTCACTTTCTTAACTTTTGCATCAAAACCATAATACTTCTCAAGCATATCTTCTTAAGCCTCCTTTGAAAATGTTGCTTCTCATATTCTGTCAAATATCTTTTGTATTGACACATTGGTGGATATAAAACAAAGTAATTTGGTCTTTCTTCTTTGATTATTTGAAATGTTCACACCTATCTTCTGTTGGATTTTCAACTAAAGGTTATGAAGGAAGGCCAACTACGCGAATCGAAGAAGTCATGGTTAGAAAGGTTTGGCCAAATTTGCGCAAATTTAGCAATTTCCATTTTATTTTTCACAATTTTAACGATTTCTGTTTTATTTCCGTTTTCAAATATTTTTAGCATTAGGGATTCTTTTAAGTATTTCAACGCTTTTGGGTGTGATCGTCAAAGTTATTTTTTATCATAATAAAATTCAATAGTTTTTTTTTCTTTCTAGTGGATTCAAGTGTTTATCTGACAAGTTTGTCGCTTACAAACTTGTGTTTTCGTTCTATGTTTAGCGCTTACTAACCCTTCGTGATTCCGACAGAGTCAGGTGACATCAAATCCTGGTTTCTCCAATTTCTTTTCGTAGCTTGATCAACTATGAGAGATCAACCAATGACAAGAGCATATCTTGAGAGAATTACCGCGACTTTTACCACGACTCTAACTGCTTTGACTGAACAGATGACGACTTTAGCAAATCAGACAAACAACGCCAACAACAAAAAATCAGCGAGAAGACAAGAGAAGAGAACAAATTAATGTTCCATAATATGGAAACAATCGTGCTATTATTGTAAATTTGAGTTTTGAAGAAAAAGAATCCTACGAGGAAGAAGTAGTTATTTATGGGAATCATCAATATAACCATGAATATCAAGTAAAGGTTAATACTCCATTGTTCTATAAAATGATGGGAATGGAGGAGTTTCTGGATTGGTAGATCGATGTTGATAGGTTATTCGACAATGTGGGCGTCCCTAAAAATAAGCAAGTTAAAATGGTGATGATCAGACTGAAGAGTACTATTGCTGTCTGGTGGGATAAATTGATTGTTCAGAGATAGAGGCAATGGAAAAGTCTAGTCTGAACTTGGAGAAGAATGAAGCAATTGATGTTGGAGAAATTTTTACCGGGAGATTATGAACAACTTTTTATAAGATGTATATTGAGTGTGTTCAGGGAAAGAAAACCGTGACAGAGTACACAATTGAGTTCATGCGTTTATCTGAGCATAATGAACTAGGAGAATCAGAGAGCCAGAAGGTGGCTCGATACATCAGTGGCTCAAATGGATCTTTGCAGAAGAAGATAGGTTTAGAAACTGTATGGGTTATGGCCGAGGCATCCAATTTAGATTTGAAGACATAATTGATGAAGAAACCCCCTTGAAATCTCTCACATTTTAGGTATTCACCCCAAAATAACTTTGAATTAGCATGTGACAAGGGAAAGAGTTCAACGACCAGGGATTCCAACCTTGAGAATAAGGGAACTAGCAGCCTTAACGGGGTGCAACAAGGCAAAACACCAGTCCAAAGGCATAATAATTGATATGCTAAGTCCACTGGAGACACGTGTTATCATTGTAATGGAAGAGGTCACAAATAAATTGTTTGTCCAATAATGAGAGTCACCGCTGTTGCAAAAGAAAGGGAAGAAGAAGAGGAAAGAGAAGGACTTGGAGTTGAGAACAATGAATATGTAGGGGTTGATTTTACAGAGGAAGAATTTGATGAGAGGATAAATTTTGTGTTGCAGAGAATTTTACCATCAATCAAAGATGAAGGGTGGCGCAAGAATTTGTTTAAAACACATTACTCTTTCAAGAACGTGGTGTGTAATCTGATCGTGGATAATGGAAGCACGGAGAATCTGGTGTCACACATATTGGTAAATTATTTGAAGTTATCCATAGAACCCCATGAGAAATCATACATACTTGGTTGGATAAGTAAGAGCTCCCAAGTTCGAGTAACACACTAGCCTGCAGAGTTCCTATCTCCATCGAAAAACATTATAGAGAGGAGGTACTTTGTGATGTTCTTGGTAGGTCTTGGCAGTTTGATAATGATATCACTTTTTGAGGATGAGATAACATGATGATGTTTATATAGGGCACACATAAAATTGTTATGGCTTTTGTTTTTCAGTTTGATAAGAATCTAGGAGGAAAGAAGTCTAGTTTCTTAGTGATGACGCATAATGAAAAGGAGCTTGATGAGACTATTAAATAAACTATTTTTTCCGTCCATTGGTGATTAAATGGCTGATGAGTGTCGAAAAAAAGGAAACAACAATTTCATAAGAAGTGCTAGGGATCCTAGAGGATTTCAAGGAGTTGGCCGCAGATGAACTACCAAACGATTTTCCCATATAAGAGATAAACACAGGAAAGTTAATGTTTTCAATGTGGGAGACGATGTGCTGATGATTCTATATAAGGAGAGGATTCCAGTTGGTACTTACAGCAATCTGCAGCCACACTAGTATGACTCGTTCAAAGTGACCCATAAGATCAACGATAATGCTTATGTGGTAGCTTTATCAAATTTTGTGAATATATCCAATACTTTCAATGTTACTGACATTCATGTGTATCAAACATATGGGATCCTTTATCAAGAAGAGAACTCAGGGTCGAGTTCTTCATAGGTGAAAGAGGTTGATGTATGAAGGTCAATTACGCGTATCAAAGAAGAAGTCGCACGTCGGAAAGGTTCGGCAGAATTTGCTCAAGTTTAGCAATTTTCATTTTATTTTCTACAATTTTATGAAGTTCTGTTTTATTTTTCACAATTTTATCAATTTCTGTTTTATTTATGTTTTTGATATTCTTATCATTAGGATTTCTTTTAAGTATTTAAACACTTTTGGGTGTAGCCGTCAAAGTTATCTTTTATCATAATAAAATTCAATAGTTTTTTTTCTCTTTTTGAGAGATTTAGAGTTTTATCTGACATTTTTGTCGCTTGCAAACTTATGTTCCATTCTATGTTTAACACTTGTTAATTCTTCGTGATTTTGACTGCATCAAAAGGTTAAATAACTTCATTCATATGTTCACTCACATCTTGAACATTGAATAACACCTTCATTTTACTTGCACAATCTATCCTAACCTAATTCTTGCCATAATTCTTACCATAAAGAATTGATATATTTGTTGGAAAGTTGTTGTTCTCTTTTATAGCTTCAATCACTATGCCAAAAAAGACCTTTAGCAGCGCTTTTTTTGGCCTTTAGCAGCGCTTAAAAGCGCTGCCAAAAGTGGCGCTGCTAAAGGTAAATGCATCGCTTTTTTTATGAAAAAAACGCTGCTAAAGGCTCCCTTCAGCAGCACTTTTAGCAGCACTTTTATAGCCTTTTAGCAGCACTGCATATTCCCCCCAACCATCCCCCCCTTTAGCAGCGCTTTCACAAAGCGCTGTCTTAGAGCCCACCTTTAGCAGCGTTTTTACAAAGCGCTGCCATAGCCCCCCCTTTAGCAGCGCTTTTTAGAAGCGCTGTCTTAGACCCCCCCCCTTCCAAACCTATAGCAGCGCTTTTGTAGCGCTATGTTTGTAACATTTAGCAGCGCTTTTTTGTAAAAGCGCTGTCTAATGTCCCAGATTTTAAAATTTGTTTTTTTTTAAAATATTCACCCTGTTTTGTATATTTACCAACAACCTGCTTATATTACACAAACCTGCTTATAATTCAGGCCTTTATTTCAAC